GGCGGGATCACCAAAACAAAACAACTATTCGGACAGGAATCAATCGGACTGATGGTCTTCTAACGTTACCATTGGATACGTGCTTGTTTACCCCAAAATCCTAATGGGTCATTATGATTTGATTACTCATGAGGTCGCTACCATGGATAAAGTTTATTCGTTCCAGACTGTGCTGGGGACATGAACCCGATCGAAAATTAACTAGTAATGTGAACCTCTCATAGAATGATTTTTGAGTATGGATCTATGCATTTGAGTTATATTTTCAATCGCTGTCGCCCACTCTGTTTCACTACGTCACTGTCGCGAAATATCACGATTTGGTTGATTGAAACAGTTTCACTAACAGAGAAAAACAAAACTAATCGATGAATATACCAAACATAGCACAGCTATCTATGACCGGCAAGTATTTCAAACTGCTGACAAAATTAGAAAATGCAAACGGAGTCATGTGACTGTGCGTACGAAAACGTAGTTATTTGGTCTCGGGAGCATTCATTCAGTAACCAGGATTCATCGTACCCATAGGAACTACTGAGGCAAGGCAAGCCGGTCTTTCAGTAATCGTTAACCTAATTGGATAATGTAGAGTAGAGGGAAAAGCTTACAGTTTCAGCCTCAGTTTGTGCAACCATTAACCATGCACACTGTCGTGGGCCGGATTTGGTTACTGTCTTTTGATTGCCCATTTGGATAAACAGCCGAAGAGAAACACAGGAAATTTGAAAGGAGAATCGAATAGAAAATGAATAATTTTATTGAACCAATGTTGTAAAGAAATTGAGAATATGCACGGACGCCACTGTTTACGACTCCCAGCCATATAACTCAGTGTCTCTAACCCTCGGTTCCGATCATCCGGTCCCCATCCGGGGAGCCTAACGGGACATATGTAACCCAAACTCCTGGTTAGGGTTTTCATACCCCATTGTCAGGTCTTAGCTTGATCACCCTGGGCTTTATTCCACCCACTACCTGCCTCGGCAAACAACGCTCGCCGTGGTAACCCATTTGGTGACATATGCAACACGTCCCAATCAGCGTAGTCTATGGAGATCGACCACCGGCTCTAGTGGGCGACCGTGGTTATCTGAAACTCTGCGCCTGACCTTAGCATTGCTCGTCCCGTTGCCCCACCAGATTCGCGCCATGCTGTGTAGACAGCGGTACTCAAATACCTGCTTCCTTAATGGCCAGGTTTCTGTGCCGTATAGCAGAACTGGTCCCAATGCCGCAGCTTATACTTGACCCTTCTCGAACAGCCGAGTGTCGCGACGGCACCGGAAATAAGGTATGCTAGGTCCATAATAAGCACTGGACAGGGATAGAGACGATCGCAGTACCGCTATTCGGTAGGAACAATGAAGAGGTTACACACACACACACACATAAAAGATTGTCCCCACTGGAATGACTGAACCCGAGAAAGTGCAACATAGGATTTCTCACCCCGACCCCCGACCTCCACCCATCCATGATGACTACCCTATTGCGCCCAATGAGTGGTGCTTCACGATGCTGGGTATAAATCAATTCGTTTATGTATGGACATGTCCGTGTAAAATACCTCTTTTGTCTCAGAATGCATGTATGATTCGTTTGGGGAATTTCGACATGCCCTAAGACCGAATTTATTTGTAATTGCAAATTCGTAACAAAACACCTCGAAGAGGTCAGTAACCTAGCCATTTGCAAGCGTCCTTATTCAGTTTATCAATTACTACACTCCTTGTCATTTTGCTATGGGAATCTCATTTTATCCAACACCTCCTGCTACCCCTTATTCGCTTTTCCGAACCTCACACCAGGTGGGTGCATGGATTTTGAACACTTGGGAAACGAGTATCAAAGGTTTTATCCTCGTATTCCCGCGCGATTACAAACGCGCTTTGGTTACCATGGAAGCGAAATCAGTTGTGCACAATCCTTTGGACAATAACCACGTACAGGTAAATTCTCTGCCTGTTACTCCGATTCCAGTCTTCTGGTGTTGTTTGTTTTCCTGAAGGTATTCACTGTCTCACAGTATTCTCACTCCCGTGGCACGTGGATGTCGTAACCCGCCAAACCTTTCTTTTACCCCGTTCATGCATGTAGAAATTCTCATCTTCTCTCCTGTTCTGTGGTGTATCTAGCCATTGGATAGTTGAACTTGTAGATCAATTTGAACTATGTAGCATTTGTGCAGTGTGGTATGGCTGCTGGAACGAATGATTGAGATCTTGTTTTGAATTTGTGGGTAATTTTGGAGTTCCTCCCGTCCATATCAGTTAGGACCGCGGGGGATAATGCAACAGGGAAAGAGACTAGTGCTCTGCTTTATACGTTCAGGTCACGGCAACAGCATTACTTGAATCAGCTTGTTTTACGTGCTTCAAACTCGTATTGTTGTGCTTAGCTAGTAATGCCCATCAACATTCTGATCGGCGCACTTCTCTCGCCATGATAATTCCATTTGGCCTTTGACCTCCCACCCCCGTCTCTGACTCTAGCCTTCTCATGGTCACACTGTGCTCTGCTTATTTGCCTCTGGTATTGTCATAAACTGAAAGAATATCTGATCCGAATGTGAAAATATCAGCGTGATCGGTGTGAGCTCGTAGCTCAATTTTTAGTGTTTGCTGTACAAAGAGCATGCGTAGGTAGCGTCCATGCATGGGTTCGAATCCCACCGAGGCTACTAAACTTTAGCCCAATCACAATATGAGACCTCAGTCTACCATACAAGGATCTGAAGAATATCTTTTCCCCAAACTGTCCTCGAGCATATTTACCACATATTAACTATAGAAGGGAAGATTCCAATAGTCCAAAGAAATTCATTGTCTTCCGGTAGCTGCACACATTTCGGGCGTACAGGGAATAAGATAATCAACTACAAGCTACTCTCTCGTCACATTGGAAATAGTTGTTCACAATCAATGCGTCACCTAACGTGTAGAAGCTTGGTAGAGCTACCAGATTCCCTGCCCCCTGTCATCGATCGATAGGCGTTTAGCCTAATTCTTTATGGTGACACAAAATATGCACGAAACCACACCGGTCATCTGTGACTTACTTGGGACAAGCAATTCCGCACATCGTGGACCAAATGCTAACTTGACCCAGCATATAAAACAGAGAAAACATACCTGATGTGACGTATCACAAACCGTTAATTGATTTTCGCCTATATCTAATACGATTGCTATCCGTTATTAAGACTATGGTTTGTCGTCCGAAGTTTTACGCGTCGCTTTCTTACAATTCAACATGTGACTAACTCTACCGGTCTAACAAGGTTGACTCTAAATTCTCAAGGATCAGTTAACATGTGCTAATTCTGATCGTGTATTTTATTTTTTAAGAATTCAGATGTTCCATGGTAAGTTTTGGTATGTGCAGTTTGTTTATGTATCCATATTGTGTTTCAGATAGTTATTTGTTTTGCGAACCACAAACAAATGTTGCTGGTGAAGAGTTCACAGAAGACGGTGCTAGTCGAAGATAGTTGTTCATTGAGGATTTCAGATGGGGTATCACCAATTTGCCACACAACACAAAACATCTCATCAGAAACATACCATCGCCGTTCCTGGCGGCACACCGAGTAATGCATTAGGTAGTTGGTAGTTATTCTTTCAGACACATCACTTGGCCCTCGGTGGTCTTGTTGTATTTTTGATCGTTGAAAGGAATCACCATGTTACCTACTACTCACAAGTGAGTAGTATCTCACAACACAATGACCAAATATTCCTTGAGTTCAACTCAGTCCGTGCTATGGTGTTTCGTGACTGTTAATATGGGCTGTTCGTAAAAGTGAACAAAACAATTGTATTTCTGCGCATCAACCCGGGCATGTAAGCGTTATCCGCCGGTCTCAACCGTGGTCAGTTATTCTTTTTCATCCCAATGGTTCCCTAAGAAAGTTCATGAACGATTCTGTATATATGTGTTTGTGTAAAACTACGATGAACAAATATGGTTTAGATTCATGTTCGAAACCAATAAATTAATTTTAATCGTGAGAAATTTCACTGCAATTTCATATTTTCACACTCTACGAAGTCCTGTGCGTAATCAAACATTCCCCACAAATCCACCCTGATCGTTGATCAATGGATTGCTGAAGCAAGGACACTTAGAGTGTTCAACTCTTGCTCAATCAATTACAGAGGCCAATCGATGTTTGAAAATGAATAGCATATGAGTTCAAGCTAGACTCCATTAAAAATTTTCGAAAACCACTTGAAACCACTTTGAAAGTAAAACAGAACCGGAAAATTCAATTCGCGCGCCTCTTCTGTGCTACTTGAAGTTTGCTGTTTTCTCACCTCAGACCTCACACCCACTTCACCCGCACAGTTCTCCTGTGCTATTCCGTTTTTTTTTCAAATATCTCTTTTTTCTCCACTAGAGGGTTTTGTAACATAGAGGTTTTACTGTTTTGCGGTCGGAGAAACACAATCTAGTGGTATTTTCCGGAGCAGATCTCGTTCACTGGAGATCTTGTTGGGTTTTGGTTTTGGTTTTGGTTTTCAATAACCTAAGCAGACCTACAAAGCTGTTAGCAAAATAGAACGAACAAAACCTAACCGGGTTTGCATTGCTCATCCACAATAGGAACAATCAGATCGAAGCAGCTGTCCAGCAGTGTGTTTCCCGGTTTTTCAGTTCACACTTCATTTGCTGTCTGTAACATATAACGAATACTCCCCCCCCCCCCGGTGAAATTGACCGGAGGCCACTAGTAGTGCTGAGATGAGCGTGGCGCGATGCCCCCACAACAAGCCGGCAAAGACAGATTATGCTATATCGTGTAAATGGAGAATGAAAAACGGGTGCATTTAAATGCGAGGGAAATCAAATTCCAAATTTGCCACTCTCAAGTTTGAGACTGTCAACCGTGTAGTTCAGGGGTAAGGTTTTGAAGTCCCCACCCGAAGGTTTAGCGGTTCCAGTCCTGACCCGACCTGGGGAAACAAACTGTACGCACTGTTGACGAGCCCCAAACAGAACAAAACAGTTATCCCGATACTCTTTGTCGGTCACCCGAAAGATTTACATTCATTTTGTAGCTGTGAATCAAAAATGGAACATACACCAACTTGTTGCATAGTTTAACGGGGTGTAATTATTAAAAAGCTTGCGATGATCCAATGAACATGTATCTTTGTCAGCCGAGTAGTTTCCCGTATTAACGAATTCATTCGATGAACAGCTCGAGCATGATATTTGAATCCCACACACACACACACACACACACACACACACATACACACCAGTTCACAACAACTTCACCCCCACTCACCTCCGCGTTGTCTCTTTCGTCCAGGTCAAACGCGTGAATGACATTGAGGACTTTGTCCGGACAAATCCCAGTTGTAGCCCACCGAGCGAGAAAGATGCCGAAGAGTTGGACAAACTTCATGGTTTTGTTCGCTATGCACGGCATAAAAATGCCTATCGCCCGGTGGAAGAACGTGTCAACGACTGGGCTGAAGTGTACGATCATTCTGGTGTGCGTAAAGAATTGCGTAAACAGGCAGCCCGGTGCATGGATTGCGGAGTGCCATTTTGTCAATCGTACGTTGGTTGTCCACTGGGAAATTTGATCCCAAACTGGAATGATTTGGTATTCAATGTAAGTTTCTTGTCTATGTGGATATCCTATAAAGTTGGACGTATTCGTCATTCCAGGCATTGTTTCTGTATAGAAACGTTCTAATAATTGATCTTTTCTATTGGATGTTTACTACATATACTTATTAAAAACTCAGTTATTCTCACTTAGCTCGTGTGAATGTAAATTGTGGTCCACTTTACTGACATCTTACAACAATAGCCTTAGTGCATCGAACAGGGCTATTGTCTGAATATATATATTTTTTTGTTGTTGTAACCATACAGGGCTGACCTCGGTCCGGGATTCTCTATAGGATTGTCCTCCGGTAACGACATTTCTCGTTCAGATAGGAACACTACAAGTAGTAAAATATAACACAATTGGAAGTGTGTGGCAATTCATTTATTATATGAAAATCATGGGTAATGTTTATGGGAAAGAGCGAGGACAGGGGAAGTGCGTAAATATCAAACGATTGGTTGACTGGATTTGTGTCAATCACCTTAATTGATGGTTGGCAGTTCCGGCCAGTCACCTGAGTGCACTTATCGATGTTCGGATTGGTTGTCCCAGAACAAAACAGTTTTCAGAGAGCATGCTGACTCCATGAGATTTATCACAAACGATGCGGTGAACAATTCTCCCAGTCTCATTGGTGGACGATTATTCTCTATAGTTGTGCAAGTCACTGTTTGATCAGGACTAGATCTGACCTGCTCCAAATATTAGCCGACGTTACACGCTTTCTGAATCGAACAGGAATCACATCACGACAATGATTGGTCAGCTAGATTGGTCATTTCTTACTGCAATTTGTTTGATTTAATTAGATGTTAATGAGAAGCGTCGACTCACTGTATGGTAAGCGTTGATAGAAAAATACTAAACATCAAAGTTTCATTCGAAGAGACAGCAGAGTATGTGACTGAATCAAGATAAATGTGAGCTGAACTGTTCAGGTCAACAAATATAAAATAATGATTGTCTTTATGTGCTAGTGAAAAAAACGTTCAAGATTTATCTGGCGTTCTTTTATTCTTATTTGTTCATCCCATGATACGTATTGTCGAAAACACAAAAAGCCCATTTAAAGTTGAATAATCTACGACCTATCACCTCCATAACTCCATCTTAGTAAACATATACGCGTATTGATCAAAATTGTGCAACATGACTCTCCTTTTGGAAATCAATTTCATACGTGTATGTCGATAGCTTTGCGCAAAGGGTAATATTTATTCCGAAATTTATTTCACTTCTATCTTCTTGATCCTCTTCTAGAACCGTTTGAATTTACACGACCCTTTTGTGTCGCGATAAAATGAAACAAATAAAATATGAATAAGAATAAAATAAAGCTAAAATTCAAAATTTAAGTTTTATGCAAAGCAGCTTGGAAGTTCCTTCTTTCTGAAATGTGATTATCGTTTCATGAGAGTGTCTACTCAGGTCAATAAACGTATTCTAAACAGCTTATCTTTTTCATTCGGTGCACAGTAAATAAATCCGTTACTGAAAATTTTCGAACCTAAATAAATAGATAAATTATGTGGCTACTGCTGTGTTCCAAATTAAGTAAGCAAATGAGCACACACTGAATGAAGCAGTAAGTTTAAAGCAAACAGCAAATATGTAGTCGGTGCACAAATCGGGGAACAAGTAGGAATGATTAGTGTGTAGGCAGGCAGACAGCAGAGTTCGGCTTACACGTTTCACTACATGCGAATGCCGTCCAGCCAGCATTCAAACAGTCAGTTAATTGAACAATCAATCAATCTGGCCACAGCCATGCATGGCAAGCGAATCAGTCATTTGTAGACCACAAACTACTTACGTATGTTTCTCACCAAGGCTTTATTATTTTACAACTGATGCACCAGCAATCGTCGTCGAAATCGCGCTGATGTGGAGCAATATTGTATTCAACGATTTGCCCTTTGCATCTTTTTTTCTTACCTTCATTTCATGCGGACTTTTGTTCTCTACGTTCAATACGTTAGAATGACTGGCACAGTGCTCACTTGGCACTGCTACAAACGAACAATTTCCCCGAATTCACTGGCCGCGTATGTCCTGCACCGTGTGAGGCTGCTTGCGTACTGGGCCTGAACTCAGATGCAGTTACTATCAAAAACATTGAATGTGCCATTGCCGATAAGGCTTGGGAACAAGGTTGGATTCAGGCAGGGACTGAGCAACTACGTGGACCCACTGGTCGTCGTGTGGCAATCGTGGGCAGTGGACCGGCTGGATTGGCCTGCGCAGATCAACTAAACAAGGTAAGACAACACACTTCAGTGACGTATATCATTTTACTACTCGTGAGTAGAGTAACCATGCAATAAATTATTGAACACCCAAAGACCTCATGAAACGACTTAAATTAGTCATACTTAAAATATGCAGCTTCACCTATGCAATATCCGGATAAGCCCTCACCCTGAATGTCTCTTAAAGTACATATGCGTTCCGGATTCATTGCGTAAGCGAGTGAAATGTGATATCCAAACGATATAACTGTGTTTGTAGTCAGCGATGCAGAAGACTAAACGAAATGGGAACAGCTCGTGACGTGTACCCTCTTTCTATATTGATGAAATGGATAAAGGGGACCCCATGCTTCAAATCGCTGTGTCCGATAGAGCACGTTATCGATATCTAGCTTTTTCGGTGCTTCGTGGAATAGAATCCCTTGGCAGATAGCATTTTTGTTCACACTTGTGCTTGCTGCTATTTAACGATCATTCTTCAACCACATCATTCTCCGTGTTTTGGAGCGAAATTCAGCAATTAACAGCTAAACTCCCAAAATATCTTCATGACAGAAGCGAATACGCGGGCTACGTGAATTAATTCTTCCATTGCAAATTATAGGCAAACTTATTTTTTGATCTCGTAAATCTGCAGACATTTTGGATTTTGGCTAAACTCAATCGAAATCCACTTGGAGCAGATCTTATAAACCTCGGACGAATCATCCAATGAAAAAACATCTAGAATAATGGAAACAGGCCGGAATCGGAAAGCAGTAAGATGAAACACCGGAGAAACCACAAAATCACCTGACTCAAGATATCCGCTAGACTGCTGCTAACATCCATATTTTACCAACTACGGTCTATGTCTATGTGTATTCTTGCCCCTAAACCTGTCTAACGAGCTCAACGGGTTAGAGATATGATAGAACTGTCCAGCGAATGCATCCCGTATTGGTCGTACAGGTGATTCATGATCCTGTCCATCGATCTCTTTGAAGGGATGTGGAATGCTTGTAGCTCGGGATGTGGATGTTGGTGTTGGTGAGTTCTCCGAGCTGGGAGTGTTGTTCGCAGACGTTTTCGGGGAAGTCCCCGAAGTCACACTGGTGATGTTGCCTAGCTTGGCTACAAAACGTCTGCTAACAACATTTCCAGCTTGGAGTACTCACCAACACCAGCACTAGATGATAGAACTTCTTGTGAAAGTCACAGGGGAATTAGTTTAATCAACATTATCTCTAAGCTTTTCCGTGCCATCATTCTCCGTCGATAGTCTGCCTCACGAGAGAGAGAGAAAGGTGCACGCGTGTGAATCAGGCTGATTTTTGACCTGGTCGAAGTGGTGTAGACTATATTTTCACCCTTCGCCAAATTTTAGAACACAGACACTCCTTTTGTAGACCCACCATCTTTGTGGTGGTGTTGGTGAGTACTCCAAGCTGTAAGTGTTGTTTGCAGATGTTCCATAGCCAATCTAATAAACATCATCATCCTCGAAGTTGCACTGATGATATTGCCTAGCTTAGCTACGAAGCGTATTCGAACAACACTTCCTGCTCGGAGTACTCACCAACACCAACAGTACGTCTCGTTACTCTTTGATACAAACGTGATACTGCGGCTTTGCCAAACGGATGTTACAGTTCTCTATGATATTGAACTAGATCTTGGAAATTCTAGATTTGTCTGTAGACTGTAATAGGAGTAATGAAGATCGAAATTTATATCATTTTAACGGGCTTATAAGTGTAATTAGTTGCCACACGACGTTTTCATCGCGTTTCCATGATCGTCATTTGACTAATCAGTACCCTCAATATTGCCTGCTCACCTAACATGAGTGAGAAGCAGACCGTCGTTGATCTTAGCCTGCTTTTACCCTAGACCGTACATCAGGAGTCTACCAGCCCACGACTGGGCAACAGCTATTCCTGAAGATGATATGAACAAGTACTGTAGAATCCAACTCGTCCATGTTTGACACTCGGATCAAACGCTGTACAAATTGGCGAGCGGTGTGCATATGAGTAACTTGGTTCACTAATCATTCGGTTGACTGCTGAACACACAAGAATGTGAACCTTGATAAACCCGGGTGTATATTATATGCCTTATGCAATGATTCGAACGCAGATATGGATTCAAATAGTCATAATTTGATTGCTATGGCGTTCGTTCAACTCCTGGTCACTCTCGACCGGTCGGTGATGAGTGAGTCGAGAAAGAGACTCGTCTTCATTCTCACTCAGTTGTTTGTTTTGAATGACATAAACCAGCAAACAATCACTACTGATTTATTTTTAAGTAGATTGTGTGTCGGTAAACCACAAAAGTGTCTATTTTGTTTCCACATTCAAATAAACCGGGTCAACTGCCATGCCAGGCTTTTTCTAACGTTCACCCAATCTAATCTTGCTTCATGGCTAGGCGGGACACGAAGTCACGGTGATCGAACGACGTGATGAACCAGGCGGTCTCTTGCGATACGGGATCCCAACAATGAAACTGGATCGTCGCGTACTTGATCGACGTCTGGAGTTGATGCGTGCGAACGGTATTCGGTTCATGGTTCGTACAAGAGTTGGTGGACTGGGTGAACCTAGCGGTCGACATGATTTGAATGCTGACAACGGGAATACGGTGGAACTGCCTAGTGATCAACTGTTAAACGATTATGATGCAATTGTCTTGTGCTTGGGATCCACTTGGCCACGTGATTTGGACATTCCCGGTATGTTGGTTTCGTTTATTTGTTTAAACCGGTATTGTAGCTCATTGGTGGTTTTGGTAACTTTCACTCTTTTTAGGGAATTGTACTGTGCTATAAGGTGCGAACTATATATTAGTGATTAAAGTATACCTTTAAAGCTGGACCTTTGGGAAACATACCATTTACCCAAGAAGTTTTTATTGATTCGGTGAGGTGCCAGAGTAGTTCAAAATGGTGAACTGCTACTAGGTTTC